CTCATCAACCTAGAATAAAAATAGTTTTCCTTAAAAGCTTAAAAAACTACAAAATAACCCTTAGATCATACCAGAAAACCAAATTCATGAATCCAACCCTAGAAAATTTTCCAAAAACCAATAAAGAATTGAACCAAACCCAAAACCCCAAAATTCCAGAACTAAAAGATCAAAACCAAAAAACTATGACTACTAGAATTTGCTTATGAGTTTCTTTCCCCAAAAAATTCTAAAAACCTAGAAAACTTTTTAAATTCTTTGACCGATTGCTTGCCCATGATTCCTCTATGATTTTTGTCCCTTTTCATTTATGTGTGTTTTGTGTTCTAATTATAGGGATTGAATCCCTTTTATTTGGGATTGATTCCTAATGATCTGTCCTTGATTTTCCATTAATTTGCATATTTGATTTTCCAAATTTCATGTTTTTCCTTTGCTTTTTTTTTTTAAAAGCTTTTGGCTTTTTTTTACTTTTGACTTCTAACTTTTTTAAAAAGACCAAAATAAATTATAAAAATCAAATCTAAATTAAAATCATATTATAATTAAAAATTTTGGGCTTTTATCTTATTGAGTTCAAAGTTTCTCAATCGGGCTCATTTTAAGGTTGAAGGCTCATTTTTTATCCCAAAAATTTTTTTTAGACAAAATGGTGTGTCCACACCCTTTAATATAATTTTTTTTTGAAATACATAAATCTTTATTATATATAATTAATTATTAATAATATCAATAATAATATTTTTATCATTTATATTAATCAATTATACTATTAATAATTGACATTAATATATCAAAGTTAATATTATTTTAATTAGTTTAAATATATCATAATAAAATTTATAATGAACCAAACTATTAAATAGAGTTGCATTTGCAATAAATCTGAAATAGATCATGAATGAAATGACCATTCCATCCAACCAAATAAAATAAAATATTTAAACCTAGATTCTTATGAGGGACTGTCCTAACAGTTTTACGAAACATTAGACAAAAATTTGAAAAATTTCAAATTCAAAAAAGTCGCAATAATTTTTTTTGGCTAAGTGTGATTGGATACCTAAAAAACTTATCTTCTTAATAAAATTTTAAAATTAATTAAATATTATTAGAAAGACATTTTTTCGTTCAGTTTGTGAAACAAATTTGGATATGGAATAACGGTTATATGTGGAAAAAAATTAGCACCTCACAGTGTCCATTTTAAAAATGATATTAATTGATCACATGTTATCCTTTTATTTTGATAAAAGTGGTTTTAATCTTAATATTTAAAAATTAATTCCTTAAATTTCATTTATTCCCTCCAAAATCATTTTTCTTCAAATCAAATCACTTTGAAATTTTAGAAAACCCATTTTTATTTTGAATTTTTGAAAATAAATCTAATTATCCTGGATCAAGATGGAAAATCCTTAGTATTAAAATATATATTTCATTCCGCTCTATTTAGGCCAGATTTCAAAAATTATTTTTACTTTAAATATTACCTAATCTTATTATTTTCTAAAAACATTTTTTGCTTTTTTTTTTTTAAAAAATAAAAAACATTGTTTTTAAAACATGTGAATGAAGTACATGAGTATAATAAACTATAATATATGAATGACAAATACAAATGTATGGGTGACAATGGCAACTCAAGAATGCTAATACATGTAACAATTTATTAAAATGAAATGCAAATGCATGAGAATGAATCTAGGATCAATTTTTGGGGTTTATGGTTTAGTTTAGGGTTTTAAGGTTTACCATAATTTTCGTGAACTTCTCTAAAAAACTCCAATATTTAGATAGACTTTTAAAGCAAGCCAAAAAAGCATGATTTTGAAATTTATTTATGGTTTTAAAGTGCAGGAAAATATATTAAAACAATGTTTGACAATGTTAGATGCAAGAGATTATTTTACTACGATGTATGACATGAGCAAATTAACAAACACCTAGCAAACACTAAAAACAAGCAATTTATGACTAAGAGAGAAAGGAAAGGCTTGGCCAAGGTAATAGGCAATGCCAAAACCAATACCCTTAGGTCAGGTTAGTAAGTACTATATAGTCATTTTATCAAACACTTGAAAAACTATTGAAAACTAACATTTTTATTTATTCAACAATTTTAATACACCATAAACACAAACTTTCTAACTTTGTAAATTTATTCAAACACCTAACAAACATTATAAGCATTAAAAATCAAATTCAAAAGCTAACACATATTAAGCACACATCAAGCAATTAAAGAAGCATCATTTATTCAAAATAAAACTTTTATCAAACACTTAAAAAACTAATAAAAAATAAATCAACAATCTAGCATTTGTATTTAAAAAGACTAAGCAAAAATATAATCAAACCATGCAAACAAGATAATCACAAAACCAAATCATTAAAAACACATCTAAATCATAAATCAAAGCATGTAAATCATTAAAAATGGGAGAAGGCTCTTGGAATAAAAAACTACATGGAATGAAGATGAAAAGTGCATGAAAATTGTTAGAAAATGGCTATCTTACAAAGCTTTTCCAAATTTTTAGATTTTTTCTTTTTCTTTTTCGATTTTTTTCGCCACTTCCAAATGCCTCCTCTAAAATTCTAGCCCTAAATGATATGTTTAAAGACCAAGACTCTTTTCCCTAGCCCTTGGATTGATACAAAAAAAAAAAATTCTAGCCCTAAATGTTTTTTTTTCTCTAAGTTTAGTGACCAAGGAAAGCAATCTTAACCTTAGGATGTAAACTTTTTAAGATCAATGATTCTGAAAAAATACAGCATTCATTTTGGCATATGGTGCAGCTATCCTAATGAAAAAAAGTCATTTTACCTTTATTAGTGCTTTTTTAAGCTTTTTTATGATTTTCCTAAAATCTTATGATCCAATATTTATTCTCATGATTTTAAGGCACTAAAATTCATAAAATAATATTTAATATAAACTAAAACTTTTTGTGAAAAATCAATCTTGAGAAGGTCAAGTAATGAAAATACCCATAAAGAGCATTTTGGTAACTTCAACCTTTCTGAGGTACAATCAAAGTTTTCAATACATCAAAATTCATGAAATAATATCAAAACATGATCTAGAGCATTTCACTAAAAGCCAACATGGAGAAAATCAAATTACGAAAATACCCTTAATAGGTGTTTTGGTAATTTCAACCTTTTTGAGGTGTAATTAATATTTTTATTGCAACAAAATTCATGAAATAATATAAAAACATGATCTGAATCTTTTTTCAAAAAATCGACCTTAATAAGGTTAAATTACAAAAATACTCCTAAAAGGCATGATGGTAATTTTACCCTTATAAGGTGCAATCAAAATTCTTAAGAATTCAAATCATAATTTTCTAAATTCGAAGCCTTAATAGTCTTATTCAGTTGTGAATTTCAAGAGTTGACCCAAATTCGACCAAGTTTTATCAATTTGACCAAGTTTGACCACAAGACATTTGGGTTAATTTAATCCAAAATTCAATTTTAAAAATTCATAAATATTAAAGAAATGTTGGATAAGAACTATGCCTGACTCTAAAAGCATCATAATTGGCCAAAGCATGCTCGAACAAAAGTAAATGTCTACAGAGATAAGCTTCTATCCATTTGAAGGATAAATTTTGAATCCTAGTAAAATGAACAAAAGAAATGATTTATTTGATAAACCAAAACATTAACTTTGTGTATCATAATGAAAACTTTCAACTTTTGAGCCTTCAGAAAAAAACTTATTTAAATAATTATGTTAAGTTAAATAATAAAGTTAATTTTAAAAATAATACACATTCAATTTAATAAACTATTTTAATGTATTTAAAATATTGAATCTAGATTTGATTATAAAAAAAAATCATTTAAATAGAGTTTAATTTAAAGGAATATAAACTCTATTTGATAGATAATTTTACCTTTATGGGATGTTATTATAATTCTAATTTATTTACTAAATTAATAAAAATAATAATTTTATTAAAATTAGATAGTGACAGATTTATATTATATATTGACAAATTTTTGTGATGAATTTTTAATAGATTTGTATAAGATTTTCTATATGGCCGTAATAATACTACAATTATGAAAGAAAAATATGATAAAATTGGTAATAAATTTATATTTTATGATGAAATGTAATAAGAAATAGTGACAAAACTAATAATAATATTTTACATGAATGACAAAAAATTATGACAAAACATTGTGATAGAATTTTCAATATTGTGACATAATATTATGAGAGAATATTGTAGCAATGTTTAACATTTAATATTTTAAAAAACTAAAAAATTTCTAAAAAGATTCAAAATTTTTTGTATTAAAAGATTAAATTTTAAATTTCATACAAATACAAAAATTAAATTTCAAATAACATATAGTATAAGGATTAAATTTTAAATTTCTTTTGAGTACTAAGATTATTTACATAATTTAACAATTGATATCATCAATTTCAATTATCACATCAGTAACTTAATACCATATCAAAAAATCAATGTCACGTTAACAAAATTAACAATTATATCAATATTTTTAATGATAAAAAACTAATAAAATTAATGATTGATCTAAAATTATAAAATTAAAATAATTTAAAAATTAAATTTATATAAGTTATAATATAAAAACTAAATTTTAAATTTTCACATGAAAACCTTATATAATTTGACCTCTATCGTTCATTCTCTCTTTTCTAACATCCCTAAAACATTCCGAAGCATTAATATCCTAGTCCGCTGCAGAAAGCCAAAATGGTTAGGAGACTGGTGATTCCCACCCACTCATTCTCTCAATCATAACATCACCCAACCACTTTCTTTTCTTTTCCTTTCGTTTCCTCTCTCTCTCTCTCTCTCTCTCTCTCTCTCTCTCTCTCTCTCTCTCTCAGATCGATATACCCACATTTCACAATAAAGAAAAATAATAATAATAAAAAAATAAAATAAAAAATAAGAAACCCACTTGCCTTCCCACTGTCTCCACCCCCACTTCACTTCTCTCTCTCTCCCGACCGGACTAGTCTAATCAGTTTTTTGTTCACTTCTCAAATTCTGTGTCTCAAAATTAATTCATATAAGATAGAAGAAAAAAAAAGCCAATAATTTTCTTCTTCTTTGTCGTCCCAGTTAGTTCTCTTCGTTACTATATTCCTGTTTTTCTTCATCAATTATTTAACCTTGATCCACACTATTTGTATTTCTTTTTCTTTTCCTTGTTCTTGGGGAATACATAATTACAAAACTACTTTTAAGAAAAGAGAGAAAAAGTAAGAAAAAAAAATGTCACTGGACTTGGCATCTGAACGTGTTGTTTATGTTCACTGCAACTTCTGCAACACCATTTTAGCGGTACAGCACTGAATTCTATATTGTTTCTTTCTTTCTTAATTTATCTTTATCTTTTCTTCTTCCTTTTTTCATGTCTTTTGGAAAGGAGAGCTGAACTGGCCATTACTGGCTTGTTTTATTGTTACGCTTTTGTTAGCTGAAATTATTTTGGTTCTTTTCTTGAAGAGCAAAGTGGGAATTCACCTAAAAAGAGTTACAAATTTGGAAATGATTAATTTTTCTACCCCAATTTATAAAATTTCCTTTTCTGGCAAAATTTTTTCACTTTTCCTATCATGGTTCATGAATCATGAGATTTTCTTGATGAGCTTGGAAAATAGCTAAAAATTCTGTTTCTTATGTTGTATTTTATTAAAAATTCTAGACTGGTTTTGTCTCAGTATGCAACATGAATTCCCATGTAAAACAAGCACAAAGTACTATATATGTGTTTGGAGCACAGTGTGAAAGCATTATGGAAGGCCAAGGGAAATTGATGAATTCGAAACCCTTCACAAGAATATTGATCCCTTATAAACAAGCAACTGAAAGCATGGTCAAGTGAGTTGCAATTGTCCAAAAGAGAAGCACAAATCCCAAAGACTTCCTGTGGTGATAAAGCTTTTTCAAGATAGCTAGGACTAGGGCTACAGGTAGAGGCATTATTTAGGGTTCTTCCAGGTCAAGGTACAAGTCCAAGATGGAGCTTCTTTTCCTATCTGCCTTTTCAAGGTCGTGTACATGGCATTTCATGTCTGATGTACTACTCCTCTCTAAATCAAACCCACCTACTTCCTTTTTTAGTTTTCCGCTTGAAATCCTCGTTACCAGTAACTTGGTCTTCATTTATCAGCTACACTTTTCTACTACAGCTGCTGCACCAAGATTCACAAGAATCCTTTTTAACAGTTTCAACCTGATGAAAATAGAAATCAAAATATTGTTTTTTAAAGATCTTTTCTCTTCGGGAGGTGGAGGTGGGTGCTGCTCTTTCTAAACACCCATGGCACTGAAACAAGGCATCATCTTTTTTTTCCTTTTTTGTGATCGATATATATTCGATATAATATCAAGTTTCTTTTTCATTATTTTGTTGCGTAGTTTCATGTTTCTTTGGCCTTTTAAGTACAAAAAATAGTGTTTTTCTTTCTGTGTACAATGAACTTGTAAAGAGAGCTGGCAAAGAAAAAAATCATGGCTAGCCATTTTTCCTCTCTTTTTTCAACCCTTCTCTCCTTTCCTTTTCAATTTTCTTTTCCTCCTCATCTCCCAAAAACAAAAGAAAACACCCACAAATTCTTATATCCTAAACATTGTATAAAGATCAGTAAATCAATCACCATTCGTGATTTTTATCTTTTCTTTATTCAATGACCATCTTTGTTAGCTGTGGTTACTGGTCATGGCCTTTATGGTTTCCGTTCCAGTCACGTCCTTTTCATCTCTCGATCTTTCACTCTAGGCTTTAATTATATGTTTTTCTTTTCTATCTTTTATCGTCTCGCTTGCGGTGTCAGGCAGAAAAGTCAGGCGCACCGAAAGGAAAACAGATAATGGGAGAAGTCCTTGTAATTATAGTTATTGCCCATGTTAGCTGTACGAGTGAGCTCTAACACCTGCCATCATTTCGATCTCCCTTGCTTCTTCCCCTTATAAAAAGACCCTCAAAGAAAATTGAAAGCAATACATATTTTTGCAGGGAAAGGATTACTTCATGAATCCTGTTTCTCTTCCTGATCTCTCTCTTCTTCTCCTTTAAGAATTGTACTGGTGGGATTGGGTATTCTGAATATGGCAGATCTGGGAACTATAAAAGGAAAATGTCTGGGATCTTAAAGGATATAAGGCTTGGGACCTTAATTTCTTCTTAGGGTTTGATATTATCGGAAGCAACATTCTTTGAACTATTTGATTATCAAATCTCAGCAGCTTCAACTCTTTCTATGACCAAAAGAAAAATATAGGGTTGCCTGGCTGAAGACAAAACTCAAAAGCGGGAGACATTCTTTGCTTCTGATCAGTTCTCACTAGTTTATTAAGCTTGTAGGGTTGCAGCTGATAACATTTCCTAATGGTAACCTTTGCAGGTTAGCGTTCCTTGCACCAGTTTGTTCAACAATGTGACTGTTAGATGTGGGCATTGTGCCAATCTGCTGTCTGTAAATATGGGAACTTCACTTCAAACAGTTCCCATTCAAGATGCTCAGGTATTTTCAGGTTCTTTTGGCCCCGCTTTTTCTGGGACATTCTTATGACTTCCTGAATATAAAATTAAATACAAGAATAATATAGTAAAGAATGGTAGTAATTAAGACAAGGAATACATTTTTTTCAGTGACCAAAGATTCCAAAGCATATTATTTTATGGGTTCCCAACCCTTCTAGCTGATAAGATACTCTGGTGTTTTCAAAATCCAATATGAAACAATTATTGTTGGTTCAGTTGATTTGACCTCTTTCCTATTCTTATTTCTTCAACTTTTTGTTTCTTTTATAGGTCTTTGGGCTAAATGTGTACTTGTTCTTTCTTTGTATATATGTGCTATTTAAATCAAGGCCAAGGTTTTGCTTCAATAGTCTCTTAAAAAATGCTATTAAAAGCTTGAGGGCGAAAGAAAGGGATTGTTTGTTTGGATATATAATTTACTTTGTTTTGTTTTGAAGGAGTTGCAGAAACAACAGATAAACACAGATCAAGATCATTATCATTCGAATAAGGATAGCGGGTCGTCTTCTAAATGCAACAAGTTTTCTGCCTTTGATTCTGCAGAGGATGAAGCACCTAGAATGCCTCCTATTCGCCGTCAGTCTGTCTCTCTATGAGAAATATATATATATATATATATATATATATATTAATATTACATTCAAATGCATTGAGCTAGCTAGGTACCCTCAGTAAATGTTAACATGCATATATAACTGATACCAAAGTGCAGAACCAACTACCTAGGCATTTTTATGATGGATATGGAAAACTCTGAAAAAAAAAATCTCCCTCACAACTGGCAATAGTAAATAATCATGTAGAATCAATCACCACATTGTCAATAGGTGAGCTTTCGCCTTTTAGAATCAGCAGCAACTCGTCTGATCTCTTCTCTCCAATCATGGCACCTCCCAAGATGGTGACCATACATGACAAGTTTAAGGCCTTATTAATTTGTAGCAGTTCTCTACACACCACCCTAAAGGCCTAAACCATAAGAAAGTTGCCCCTATAACATACGTTAAATGATCATATTGCAGTTTGATATGTGTATTTCACAATGAATTCAAAGCAATGCCATTTACCTTTCTGATTTGTTTGCATCTAAAAGGACCATTATTGAGTACCCACGCTGCAAGTCTATACTTGCCTATATTCTGTCAAGATTTCACAGGCGAAAAATGTTGATTGCTTATGCCAATAGAAAATTTCCTACCCTTTTCGTTTATAAGCATCTATGTGCACATCTCTATGATCTTACAAAAATGATTCTTGATCAGAAATTTTAAACTCTAAGACCAGTGGAACCAATGGATAGATTGACATTTGGAATGTTACAGCCTTTCTTGTTTGGATTGTATGAATAGATTACACGATCAGTCCTGGTATCAACTAGATTCAAATCAATCTGCTATTAGTGCCGATACATATTCTGAACAGAATAAAAAAGCATTACATAGAGATGTATTTTATTTGATTAAGCTTGCTTATAAGTAGATGTTTAATAAACTATATGATCAATTAATAATGCAGCCCCTGAGAAGAGACAACGTGTTCCTTCTGCATATAACAGGTTCATTAAGTAAGTTTAACCAAAATTTCATGGTTTCTTAATTATGGATCGTAACACCCCCCCCCCCCCCCCTTTTCTTTCCTCTCTCTCCTCACTTTCCTTTTCCTTTTCTGGGATCTTACATTTTAGGGAGGAAATCCAAAGGATCAAGGCTAGTAATCCTGACATCAGCCATAGGGAAGCATTCAGCACAGCAGCAAAAAATGTAAGTTTTTTTTTTTTTCTAGATTCTGCAAATATATAGATAGAACATACTCATTGCTTACCTAAAGCAATTAATCATAAGTACTCCATTATAAGAAATTCATCATTCCAATTAATATGGTTAAGCCATAATTCCTCCTTCCCCATTCCAGTGTAGTTCTATATGCAGAGAGATTTACTGTGGTTTCTCAGAATGATGGCACAATGTTAGGTCTCTCAACTAACATTAATTCAAGACTTGTGTTGTTTATACAAACATTCAGGGAACTCATGGTTTTGCTATTAAGGTGTGCATCACTTTTTTTTTTCTGTGGGTGATCAATCTACTTAGTATAGAAAAGCCAATAATTTTTTATATAATTATGCATTATCCTAAATCATTTATGGTCAATAACAATGCATAATATCACCCAAAAAAATCAGAAACAATCAATATTTAGCTACTCCTTCAATCCAAGATAGTTTAACTATCCCCTTTATCTCAAGTTAAATACTATCATTAGACTTATAACATACATTTTTAAGAAAAACTGAGATATTTTATATTAACATTTTAAATTAACATATATAAGAAAAAAGTGAAAAAAAAAAAAGATAAATCATTGTTGGATACACATAAGAAAAGAATTCGGAAGTTTAAATAATAATAATAATAATAATGATGTGATCTTTCAAAGTAGGAAAGGCCGTCAAACTCTTACATTTTCTATATTTTAAAGCTATGATAGGGTCTAGTAATTGGAAGATAAAGCCTCCAATCATGAATGGTATTAAATGGAAGAGTTCCCTAAAAAACTCAAAGATTTGTGTTCATATACATACTGCTCTAACGGTAAAGCACTAAAGCTTATGTAGAAAACTGATTTAAAACTTATTTAGGATTCATTTTTTGAGGAAAAATCTCAGTAAATGGTTGGTAGTATTAATATATTACAGACATATATTTTAAATTTTTGCAAGATAAAGAATCTTAAGGGGGAAATTTTGACCAAAAGTTTCAGTAGGGTTTAATTTCTATTCATGACAAACTTCTTCTAAGGTGCTATTGAAATGGTTATAAAGTAACTGAGATATATATTATATATCCATTAGAGAAAGGAGATTCTACATTTAAAACCCATTTGGTATCCCTTTGAGAAGAAAGAAAAATTATAATACTCTGCAAGATTTGTTCATGAAAGATAGCTAACTTACCAAACCTATAATAGGGAGACCATGCACTGATTAAGTGATCAGAAAAATGATTGAAACAACCTTTTACAATTAGCTCATGCTTGTAGAGCGGTTGGTCCTCGGTCGTTTATCACAATCAGACCACTGAAAAGGAAAAGCTTCTGACTCAACACCAAAGGTTTAAGAATGTACATTGAGTTTACCACATATTGTTTTGGCAATACCTCGATCAAATTGATTACCTCCCCTAATGCCATCCAATTGTATGCGCCTGCTTCAAGTGTTTGAGCCTACTAGTTTTGGTTAGAAATTAACAGGGTTAGAAGCTGTAAGAAATAGGCACAGTTGCGATGCTACTTAATTGGTTATAGTTCATATGGAAGTAAAATGCTGTGTCCACAACTTGTGCTCAAAACTAACGATCATAATTGTTTTTGTTCACATTATTTTACCTTTATTATTAAATTTTAACTGTCAAAAGACAGTCATGGTCGTTCGTCGTGGCCATTGGTTATTGAAAAAGACGGGATTCGAATCCAATTCTTTGAACAAAAGATACACATATGGGCCTATATATCAAGAGTTAAAATACTCAGGTGCTATATACTTTTTCTTATTGAAAAGTGATACTCAATTTTTCCTAAGGATCAATGATTCTCTCCATTACTCCTAACTTGATATATAGGGTGGTTAACCTAGCAAATATATTGTCTTATATATCTAGCTACAAATTAATCCTTCATATGTTTTTTTGTACGTTGGAAACATATGTCTTTCAGAAATTCAGAGGCCCGTGATACATTTTCCTTTTCTTTAGCCAAAACAGAAAAATTATAGGAACATATATAGAGGGTACTGCTGGCTGTTCATGTCCAACCATAAAACTCCAATAGGCAGCATTCATATCCTGGTACTTTGACTATGATGCTATATATTACCCTAGGCACAAAACAAAGAAAACAAGTGGATGCCTTTGTCTATGTCTTGAGTATATATAGATATCTTCACCTTCTTTCCTTTTCAATATTGATAGTTAAATTAATATACTTATGCATATACTTGCACTAATCCTTTCCCATGTCATATAGTGTAATTAGCAACATTACTGTTTTTGCAGTGGGCACACTTTCCTCACATTCACTATGGGCTAAAGCTGGATGGAAACAAGCAAGCAAAAACGGACCAGGCATTTGCAGGTCAGGGTACTCAAAAGTCTAATGGGTACTACTAAAACACAAGGGCAACCTGTGACTAGAAGCTAGTCATCACTCATCACCATATATGTATAATTACTAGAAGAATTGAGGTTTTGATGAATTAGTCTCCTAAACTAGATTGCAAGGAAGGCCCTCCTGAAAAACCTCACCTTGTTATTATGTATGTTGCTTTTTTCACCTCTTATCATCATCAGAAGTTTCTTTCCCTTCTAGTGATTATTGAATTCAGATCATATATTTTCAAGTAAACAAACATTCCCAGGGAATAATAATATGTGCAATTTCGTTTGATAACAATTATGGCAAAGTCTTAATCTTTCAATCTCTTTGCTCTTTTCCCTCTTTCTTTTTCTCAATTTTCAGAGTGGGCAGCCACCGTCCTTCACTGTATTACTAGCTAGGTAGAGAGGACCACTTAACCAATATGACATTTCATTGATTTAGTGCTGTGCACGAAGTACCATGAGCTCACCCCCATTTCAAGCTGTCGTTTATTATAATGCGTACTTTAGGCTTCTGTTTGAGCCAAACTCATCAGCATCTTGGAGGGAAATAGAGCTCTGAATTGATAAATAAAGATTTTAAGTTAGCTCTTCAAAAAAAAAAAAAAAGTTAGGATAAAGTAATAACATTTGCATGGACGGATGACAGAATGATATACAGTTCTTTTCGCATGTGTTCAACCTGTCATGTTCAGAGCTCAAATCAAATCTTTAGAAAATTTTGAGAGATGACCAAAAATAATAGTAGTTTGTAGTATTTGTTGTTTTTTTTTTCACCGAATTTGAGGCACAAAAATCATGCAGAAAGATTTACAACAATACAATACATAAACACCACCTTGGGATACACAAACAACTTTTATAATGCTTTGGTTGGCCAACCAAACCATACAAATATTCTTCAAGGGAGACTGCATGCTCTTCCTTGATTGTGCCTTACTTTCTCATTTTCTTTCCCTGAAAGACCTCAGCAGCCTTTGAATGAAAACCCTCGACTTTTACTTAGTTTTTGTCACCCTTTTTCTTCTTGGGGCAAGCTTCAAATTGGGGAATAGAACTTGATTTTTTTTTTTAATATAGGAGAAATATACATATATAACTACTATTATATCCGCCAATGAGGAGTTGAGATAATTATCTTGAATTCGAGTTTTATTGATAAATTATTTGTTGCCACTAATACATTCATTGAATGCAAATCTTTATAATGTATCTTATATCTTGTTTTTGCTTATATTAGAATTTAAATTTCAAATCTATTATACGTCATCTTTTAAAAGAAGTTGTATGTACGGACTAAAGGGATTCAACAATCAATTTACATATTATGACAAGGAATCTCTTCCAAACAAGCTCCAAATATTTGCATACATAAGTCTATTGCTTGTGTCACATTGCCCCTTTTGCAGGGTAACCATATAGTCTATAGCATTCACTTGTTTCTACATTTCAGTCAAAAAAAGGAATCGTTAACAGTCAACCCAAAGAAACAGCAAAAAAAACCACTTGATGTCTGATCAACAACGCTATTAGTGAGTGATGCTGGCCTCCAGGATTGGTGCAGATTACTTAAACTTCAGTCACTTTCTTATTATAAAAAAACAAAATCAACTTAATCAATGTTTAAATTAAGCATTAATGATTTGTAATCTTTTTACTCTCATATTCCCTACTTCTAATTAAGTTGAACCTCTTCTGTCACGCTGAGGTCATGAAAACCCTAGCATCAACCAATACCATTGTCAATGGTTGATTCCCCTAAAGAAAAAGAACAATTTTTTTAAAAGAGAACAATAAAGCTAGAAAAATGGGGTCCCTTTGCATGGTGCAATCCCCACTATAGAACAGTACACTTTACTTGATGCCCCTCCAAATGGCCAAATCGAGCCTTGATAAAGTGGGGACTGTGACTTTACCAAACATGCATGGCCTTGGTATGTGTTAATATATACAGCGTGCCTTCTCTACACTAAAATTTGTAGTTGCCAAAAGGAAAAAACGAAAGACAAAGGCCTAGAGAAAGTTCTCTCGCCTGATGCCTAGAGAAAGTTTAAGAAGGCGTAATCTGGTGTAAATGTAAGTGGGGTTTGTCTAGTGGGATAGGAATTAATAGTACAGAATCTGTAATGTCAAATCATGTAGTCGGTATTTTGGTAGTTTGTATGTGTTGGATTTTTTTTCAGTTATTTAATATTACTATAACATAAAAGAAAATTGTGGGATTAGGCTGACATATGCGTGGAATGAGAGATGATAGGGTTATAGCTATCTGTTTCTATCTTTCTCTGCGGAGTGGTCCTTGGATTAGAAACAGGAACGGTAAGAGCTGCTGCCTTTTGTGCAGCAGGCTGCAGGCAGCAGCAGAAGAGTGAGTAAGTGAGTGAGTGACATAATCTTTTCTTATCGCCGATTTTAATGCTGGGAAGATACTTTGAGATTTCCCACTTCAAATATGATGACAATCCTTTTTTTTTTCATTTACCCCACATCAGAACTCCCTCCCTACGATACATGCGATCCCTGATTTCCTACATTATTTAGCTCCATGCATCACCACTTCACCATGCATCTCATTCCTTCTCTCTTTCAACGTTTTTTTGGCTCAAAATCTCAATAATTAACTATTCATTTTACACTATAATCTTTTTAAACTAAATTTTGATCTAAAATATATTAAATTTTAATTAATAAAAGTTCGAATATGATAATGTTAATGTAAATTCTTAATTTTACAATCAAAATTAAATAATTGATACATGTTTTATTTTTTTAATTAATTTTTTATTTTTTAAATATACTCTAAAACAATATGTATTACTCTCTTAATTCTATCCATAGAACTTAAAATTTTCATTTATAATAGATGAAATAATTTAATGAAGCTGAAAGAATATTAGATTTCGTATGTAAAGGAGAAAGATGTTATCTGTCCATTAATTCCGACTATATTTGGCTTATATATATATATATATATATTTAGTGAAGGTGGAAATTTGTCTATACTTTTGTAAGCAAACAATTTTTCATGTATATACTAAGTTGAAGTACTTGGAAAAATCTCATAATAAACTGCCATGTAAGACAATTAGTGGGAATGAGAAGCTATCAAATCCTTTTGTTTTAGATTTTCCCCTGGATGAATTTTTTTTGGTAATTTGATGCCTACAGCTACTATCAAATCATGATTGTTTCATGCATGCAAATTTACTAGCCTTAAGATTTCCTTTAAAAAAGTCTTTGTACAGTGATTTCTTAACAAATTGAAATTGATCAAGTTATCAAGTGAGCAAATTAATTAATCAAAGCAAAAGAAGGAATTGCCTGCCTTCCCAATTTCTTCTAGTTCAGAAAATACTTATCAAGTTGACACCATGATATCTTTGGCTTTTTTTTTTTTTTTTCAAAAATTAGAGAGTTTGCTTTTGATACATTGATAGTAAAATTTTTTAACTTTATGAGTGAAAATAAAATACCGTCATATATTTCACTTTTTTAATTAATTTTTTTATTTTTTAATATATTCTAAGATATATGAGTCATCTTGAAAATCTCATTTGTAGAGTTTAAAAATTTTACTAATGGTGAATAAGATAATTTTTCTTAAATTAATTACAACATAGAAAAACTTGGATTGTTTTTAGCAATTGAGTTTAAACATGTAACAACAAAAAAAAAAGGTATCTTAGAGAGGATGCATCTTAATCAGCCAACTAATTTTAGAATAATTCCATTCTTCTTCCAATATGCTATTGTCCAATTAATGTTGGATGAAACCTTGTTCTATCCAATGAAAATTTGCTTACTTTAAACATTATATGACTCTAATTAGTTAACCAATGTTTAAAAAGGTTTGTTAGATGCTTGTTGAAATTGGAGAATCAATTCTCACTGCCTTGAACCAGTCCAAGCACATGCAATTCTTTTATCCCATCTGTCATCTGGGGTCGTTCAAAAACATGCAACATGGGTTTGCAAATTAAAACAATTCTCAACACTGACCTGTAATGAGGAAACCCACAGCATTTCTCACCAGGACAACTTCACGTGATTAAGGAACATTTTTCCTTTTTCACATTTCAAACGCTATAAATTGAAGTCTTTTCCCTTTTGGACCCCACATTCAGGATCATACCATAAATTTTCAATTTCAGTCTTTTTTTTTTTTTTTTTTGGTTTCATTTGTTTCATCTTCTCTTTAATCCAATGCAAAGAGATAAGGAATTGATAATACAAGAAGCAATTTGATAAGACAGATGGAAAGAGAGAAAAAAACTTTTTAATCTTGAGATTCATAATAAACTCAATTATTATTAGATTTTTTTTCTTTTTTTCATCAAATATGGTATAAAGTTGAATATAAAATTTAAATCAATTTGTTCATAAAACTATTTTTAAATAATAATATTCAATAAATCTAAAATTCGATTTCTAATATTTAAAATCCTTTTCTCCTATATCATATTGCCATCTGTAAATAAATTGTGTGAAGGTCAAAACTTAATTTCAATGGAAACTGCTATTAGGCTGAAGTGAGTGAGAACTAAGAAACAAGGACCACAGAGACTGAGCAAAATGTGACCAAAGGTTAATGGTCCTAGAGTAAACAGGGCTCGTGCGCATGGTACGGTACCATGGTACTACAATTATCAGAGAGTCAGGTCACATCTCACACAAATATGGGAAGAGAGGAGATGTGGTCCACCATTCTAACAAAACTCAGTCAGAAAAGAGACGATATCTTCCCTATCTCATCCTGCACAAGGTCAATAAAAATGTCTCCCGCCAGCTTTCCCGTTTTTTTTTTTTTTTTCCCTGAAATTTACTTAATAGTTCTCTTCAATTTACATCAAAATTCCATTCTCCCCCAAAGTAAATGATTTTTTTTAGTTTTTATATAAAAATAATTAAATTTTAGTTATATAAAGAGAAAATTGTCTTAAATTTTTTTCTATTTTCCTTTATTTTTTTATAAATTATTTTCTTTATTTCTTATCAAATGTACAGTGAAAATAAGTGGTAATCTTATTTGTTTTTCCTTACTGATTTTAGTTGACAAAATAAATGGATCTTCATTATAGGATCATATCACATTACTAATAATGGCAATTTGCCTTGGTTTTTCTTAACACTTTTTTCTTGATAATTCAATGAGGATCATCTTAACCCATGAATATCCTTCTCAACAAGTCTATAACTCACTTTAATTTATATAACTTGGAATATTTAATCTTAACAATATATATATATATATATATAGTGAGAGGAAAAAAGAGTAAGTTAAAATGGTGTCAGAAAAAAAATATTTTCTCACTTTTTTTTAGCACATATGAGGTACAAGACAAAAATGGGATATTAATATCAGAAATTTGAGGAAAAAAAAGGCAAAAATATAAGGAAAGACGAAAGAAAGAGAATAGGGATTCATAATTCTTACCATAATAACATTAAATGATATTAATAACAGAAATGAGCTCAAAGAAAATGAATATAGACTTTTCCAGATATGAATCATAACAAGAAACCAGCAGGTGGCATAGAACTGCAGAAAATAGATCATAAAATTCAGGATAGCATACATGGGATATCCATCAGAACCATACCTGGTGGATGCAGCTAACGAAAGTTAATCTAAGAAATTCAGTAGTAACGTGAACCAGTATCATATACACGGCCCCCGGGGTATGAACCTCTAGGTTCAAAACCATGATCTCTGGCACCCCCAAGAAACCGAGCCCTCTCCCTGTAGGAGTCGAAATTATCAGAGTTATAGCCTCGATGTCCATCTCCAACAGCAGCTGAACCTGAAACACCACTGTAACCATGAGGATTACCGGTTGGAATGGTATCAGCTGGAGCCATGCTGCTATGAGGATAATGGTCCATCATCAATTGCTGGTATTGTTGTTGGCGTACAAGAGATTCCTTTCGCAAGAAATCATCTCTGCGACTAGTGTGCCGTGTTCGAAGTGCTGCTAACTGTTCCTGATACTGAGTATTGATTGCATTTATTTTCTGAAATTTAAAAAAAAAATATTACAACCATGCAAGTCTATGTGACATTCTTGAACACAAGGTTGAGCAAGGGATATCTAAGAGGAGGAAAGAAGGGCATAAGAATAAAATGCATATACTTTTGCTTCATTAAATACTTGAGCTTTCGTGAGAAGGCATCATTTACTTTAGATAAGTTGCCTTGCCAGCTTAGATTCGAAGCAAATCCAAGAAGCTAGAGCATGGCCACAGAAGAGAACTTCTTAAATTCACACTATTACATTAAGCCAATCTTTAACAAAGGTGGAAAATATATATGACTAGTTTGTACATATAAACAGCCATCCTGAATAACAGCAAGTACAGACCATAAAGTTTCATATTCTAATATCTGTAACTGCCCAAGCAAAGGAGAAAGTACTGAACCTAAAACATTAGGATGGTTTTTCATTTTTTTTGGACAAAACTTTTTCTTTTAGAACTCCACTTTTGTTTGCTTAGGAAAAACCAAGCAAACATTGTATGGAAGAGGTTTCTTGTTGGTAGAAATTGGCTTTGCAAAAAAGACAAAGATATGGAAGCAGATAATATTGAGAACATGAAGCAAAATTAATTATAAACTAACCTCCCTATGTCTAATATTTTCTGCGTCCTCAGCATCATTCTGTTCTTTAGCAAGCATCATTATGTCATCAAGGAATTTCTTCTCAAGACCCTCCAAAGTTTGTGGCAAAAGATTTTGCTCATAGCCAACTTCCATATTTTCATCATGCGGTCGAGATCTGGGATCAGCATTTTGTTTTTCTAAAGATAGTTTGGGATCTGGCCTCTGACCCTGGAAATAAGTTCTTGATCCATCAGTCCCTTGGCCTATATCACATTAAACAGCTGCAATAAGAACAGGGATCCAATATAGATCTTATAAGTAAAGCTAAGAACTTATTTTCAAGCATGAAAAGGAATAGATATCAAATATGTAGAAACAAAACTAAGCAATTCACAGTTTAATTTTTCATAGTTAATTTTACCATTATAATGAGGCCATCTCATAGATGCCCTAGTATCAAATGAAGCAAAGTCATCCATTCTTGCACCCATATTTCCATTTCTTTAAGAATACAAATATACAGATCTAGGAAAATAGTACTAGAATGGCCCCAATCAATCACAGCACTTGTACAGAATACTAGGACTAAAATGAAAGAGTTTCAAGAAATTCAATTGTCTCCGAAACTGAACTACATCCCTAGCTTTATTTATTAATTTCTGTTATCTCTCACCTAGAACGCTTATTAAGAAAATAAATAGAGGCCTATTATTTAGGAGGAGAAACACACAGTATGGGGAACAGAAACAATGATTAGAAGGATAATACACTATGAGAAACCAGTCAATGAGACTGAAAGAGCAACTACCTATACTCCAAAAGGTCACATAACTTGGTCACAGGCTCTAAGAGCACATATTATACATAAGGTCCCCTCTTCAGTGACACTTGCACATAATTGTCAAAGAATGTTGCAGGATGATAAAGACCCTTCTCAAAAAGAACATGCACTAAACCAGAAAGCAACAGAATGAAAGGGACAATAGAAACATTTATATATGTAAACATGAATGCTTTAACATCTTAAGCGAGCAATTATCTTTCATTTTAATAAGTATGCTCCAAACCTCTTTTTTCCAAGGAGAAAATGAGGCAAATATCGCAACATTTCATTTTTCTATGGTTAACAGGCCATTATAATGGCTGTAGTTGAACTCAAATTTATATCTATAAGCACCAGAAGCACGCTGCACAATTCTAAACCTATGCAAAAACATTAAAAGAAGAAGAAGATGATGATGAAATTGGAATCAGTTTCTAAATATAACAAGGAGTAACCTCTCAGTTTTGGAGTAAAAACAAAAGAAAAACATATTGTACATTTATTTTAATTACAAGTGTAGAAAGCATCCTTAACAAGATGGTTAAGCAAATATGCCAAATTACAAATTGCAGAAGTGCATGTCATAACCCACATTTAACATTGGTGGTACAAATGGAATTTCCTTGTTTATAAAATTGTAATTACACTCAATGATGGGTTCTCCACACCATTTCTTTCTCTTTTTTATAAAATAGACAATGGACAGATAACAAGATTAATGAGCATACACAACAAGGCATGGAACCGCTAGTTATGACAAACATATTCAGAAAGAGGAAGAGTGTCCAAAAACAATCTTACCTTCATTGAACATTTTTGCTGCCAATGGATTTGATACTTTTGATTCCTCTCTTTCCCACCTCCACTGTCCATCTGATTTTGGGGTAACATATGGCTGATCCCTCTCAGGAGTGAATGCTTCTAGTTGTCCTTGAAAATGACCAGACTTCTGCTCCATTCTCTGTGCAGGCATATGCTGCATCTGAGAAGAGACATATGCGTTGCCACCAGAGTCAGCATACTGTCCCTGCCGTCTCATCACTGTTACTTAGAAATCACCTTCAAGTTGAACCTGACAAGCATGAGAGCAACCGCAATCAAAATCTCGTAATTTCACAAGAAATGGACTCAAGTAATTCAACCACTAAATAGTAATAAGTTCTTGCGTAAAGGGGGGCTAAATTTTAAGTCAAATTGGTAGATCCCTATCCACTTATCCATAACTATAAGTCTTTAATAATAAGTGAGGCACTATCTGAAAGATTGAAACATCATATTGAAATCTGGGAGCATCCATTACAAATTTTAAGTTTCTCACAACAAAAAGTGATATTTTCTCACATCTAATAAATATCTAATTTTGCATAATCTTATATTCGAGTTGGGCCTCTCTACTTAAAGCCAATTGGTTTAAGTTAGATGCTTAACACAAAGCAAGGCATAAGAGCTACATGCTAATACTATCAGCTATTGGAACAATAAAAATTGAAAAAATAAATAAATAAATGCCAGGTAAATAATTTATAAGAAAGTAGCAACATAATAACCCTAATCCAAAAATACATGCCAAGCTGAAGTTGAACTTAATACAAATCAACTACTGAACTAACAGCTTTTCATGGGTAAAATTATTTCCCTATGAATAAAAACATCTGCCAAGAATTCCAAAACATAGTCCTTTATTAATAAAGTTTTAATACTAACAATCCTAAAGCTACATACTTGCAGTCGAAATACACACTAAGAGGCATTTAAACAGAAAAAAAAAAAAGGAAAAAAGATACGCATATTTTCAAATCCCAAGGAAAAAATTCACCAGAATTTGACTATAAATACCTTACTCACCAATGTAATAATATTAATATCGCAGGCAAATTTTTTAATGTAAGAAAAAGAAAATGGATTATGTTTAGAACCACTAAAAATGAAAGGAATCATAAATATATATTAAACTAAAAAAAACAAAAAATCTTACTTTTGATTTGTTCTGTATTATCTTCTTTCTTTCTTTCTTTCTTTTTTTTCGTTTTTCGACAGGGGGAGTGAAGCGGAGAAGGGCAGCTCCAGGGCTCCTTTTCCCAAACTTAAATCCAGGACGGTTTAGCATTGGAATGGGTGGGTTTTCTATTATGGGCCGATTTGGGCAGTGACTGGAGAAATAGGACGGGCCTGCTTCAGGCACTGATCGTCGAGCAAGCCTATAATAAAAATGTTAAAAGTCCTCATTGTAGATCTCTTATGTATACACCCTTATATAAAAAAGGGTCCCTTAAGTTATCTTACCAAGACAATTTCTTTTTTTATAATGCTACATCGTTTAAGGCAGGGAGGGGATTTTTTTAGTTGGAAATTAGTTTTGTCGTTTTGGTAAGGGAGAGTTTCCTCTGTTTAGAGCGCGTATGGCAGAAGTTTTTTCTGCTTCTTACAAGTGTTTCATTTTTTTCTTACAGTTGTTTTTGGTGTTTTTTCTTTGACAGTTGTCTTTGACTGCAAGAGATTTAAAGTCAGGTTTTGAAATTTACGTTTATGGGTTTTTCATTGCCAAGCTGTTACGTAGGGTTTGGTTTGTGATTTTTTTTTTACCCTTCTTTTTTTTCTTATTTTTTGCTAATTTTTTTTTGTTGATTTTGATGTTATATATTTTATAACAAAAAGAGTAATACAATCAAGATATTTGAAATCGAATAACCCCAAACATTTACAACCCAGAAAATAGTCTCAAACATCATAGGCTCAAAAGCAAAGACAGGTGTTAAATCAATAAACAGTTTGTGATTATTTTAATTTTTTTATTAAATTATCTATTTTGGTTTTGTTTGTAAGATTAGGTATTACCATAATATATGAGAATAGCAGGTTTTATAAAATAATCATGTTTAATGTAAATAGTATAAATGATTATTGAATGATGATTTTAATCATATAAAAAATTTGCATTGTTACTTTCTGTTATGTTTTTTTTTTTTTCAATATTTCATTATTGTTACCATATGAATTTATAGTGTTGAATTCTTTTAGGGATTATTTTAAATCTTACGAGTTATTATAAAAATTGTTAATATCTTAATCATTAGAATGTAAGTTTTGTGGATTCTTTTTATATTATAAACAGTATATATAGACTATTTTATATCAATAACTTTTGATTAAAATTAATAATTTATTTACTATGCGGTTTTTTTTTTACATATATTATTGTTGAATTATGTTGCTCATTAATCATTTTTTTTTTTTTTTTGTGTTTGGTTAATGGCTGTTGATAAGATTTTATGTTTTTTTGTAGTTACTGCTGTTGCTATTAGGTTGTCTCCGCGTGTGACGTGAGTTTTAGGTTTTGATTTTATTATTCCATGAACGGTGATTTAGATTTACTGCTCTCATGGATTAACTGCTGGAATCCCCAACTGTCACATCTTCAAGATCAACGTCTCTGGTAATTTCTTAATTCCTATCATCTCTTTAATTTCTTTTTTGTTTTTCTTTTCTTTGATTGTTGGAATATACAACTGCATATAAATAATCGGATACAACAATGAGGACATAAAAGTGCAGATAAAATATGGGCATTTTTTTAGTATGGTCCTTTTGCCCATTCTTTGATTTGCTCCATTGAAGTTTTTTCTTTTTTTGGGTTTTAGGGTTTTATAGCTTAGATTTTTTTTTTTTTTTTTTAGTATTGTTGGTTTATTTATTTTTTAAAAATTATTGATAATTTTTTACAGAAGCTGAGCTTAATAAGAGGAAAGAGAAAGTTGTAAAAAGAAAAATTCTCTATTGAATTCAAGAGGTAATTGCATGTGTTTTTTGTGAAAAATTTCATGTTTCTGTGAAATTATAATTTGATGCTTCATTGATATTTCATGAAGCATTGTAATTGAAAATCATGAAATTTTCAGATGGAGTATCAAATTATATGTACAATTCTCAATTACAATTTTTAATAGTTTTGAAATTGTATGAACCAGATGGAGTATATGTATGTGTACTCCATTTGATACTCCAGATATCCAGAGTTTGATAGTTTTTAATTACAATGCTTCACCATTTTTAATATGAAATTATTTTTAGTATCAATTTTAGCTCATATTCCTAGATTTTAATTTAATAGCTTTTCTTCTGTGATATGATTTTTTTTTCTTTTATTTTCTTTATATGAATGGGCTATAATTATGTTCTTTCCATTCATGAAGGCTACCGACGTAAAATGGAGGAATGCAGATCAATCCATTCCTGTGAGAAAGAAAAAGGATCAAGTAGACCAAAATGATAGTAATAACCAAGATGGTGACAACTACTCAATCTTTACCTCAAGGGCTTTGTCAGTGGAAAAACAAAATGAGGAGTTAATTGCATTGAGGGAACTACTGAAGGATCTACAAAGAAAGTTACTGGAGAAAGATGTTTGAAGAACGTGATTAATGATATTCATGAAGAACTTGATAAATTGAAGAGACATATGCAGCAAAAAAGACTCTTTAGTCAAGTCTATTCAGATGCAATTCTATGATGTTGTCCCAAAGCTTTTAACTTAATGGTTAAAAACGTTTGAAAGAACATCAAGAATCTGATTTCGAATCAAATCTCTTCTTATTTTGGCATCATAGAGTTTTTTTTTTTATAGGACTTTACTTTCTTGATTCTTTTTATTAGAAATGGGTTGTTTTTTTATAAAAAAAAAAATCATTTCATATAATATTTTAGGGTATCATAATTACCTTCTCAATATTTATCTTTGAAACATTGATGTGGGCATCAAAGTTTGTAGATGATTTTTAAATTTGAAGTTAAAAATCATTTTTTTTTATGAACTCTTGATAATGTTGCTTGGCCTTCTGTTTTTATCTATATGTTATTGCATTGTTTAGTTACCAGATAAAACGTTTGTTACATAAATGGATGAAAGATGCATTAAACATGAATACGATGAGCTTTTTGTCTTTTTAGTCACTAGAAGATGTTAAATTTATCCTAAAAAAACATATTTACGTCATTGATTCTTCTTTTCTATCATTTGTCAAAATGTAACTTCTATTTTGTTAATGCATCTTATATATGACATGACAATATGAATTTGAATCTCATCCATGCAGGGATCATGACAATCATCATTGGACTGTTTAACGAACCAAATCTTGATGATGGTATAGTGTCATAGACCTAAAAAAAAATTATGAATCATTGTATATTAGAATTATTATAGAATATAAGGATTCACATATTCATCTCTTTGTAAGATATATTTTGTGAGATAAAATTTTAAAGTCAAAAGATTAGAGCAGATAATACTTTACAAAAATATAAATCATGATAATTAAACTGATCTGAACATCAAATGAATGCATATCCAAATCTTAGAGCACACAAATATAAAATTTGAATCTTGTCCGTGACTCTATCAATTCACCAAAAAAGTGCAATTTACAAGGTTTGAAAGCAAGTTGCATTGACATTTGCCAAATCAACTACACTTTTAAATTGGAATCAAATGTTGGATGAATCTAATAGCTCTGAAGATATTGTCACCTTAACCTTATTTTCTGCACTTTAATCTTTTATTCTTTTATATATAGTTATATTTTTTTGCCTTTATTATTTAACATTTTTTGCAATATAGTATGGTTATTTTTATATTAAATTTTTGTTACTAAATTTAGAAAAAATATTTCTAACAAATAAAATACTAAAAATTAATTTAATACATTGAACGAAAGCCAGATTCGCTCATTAATAAATTGTTAAAGTTGGAATATAAAAATAATAATTTCATTGTTTTCCGGTGTTTTCATTTTTGCAAAAATCTTTGTATTTTTTTCATAATTTTTAAAAAGTCTTTGTATTTTTTAAAATTTTTAAACAAACCTCTATTCTTTATTGTATCTAATTAAATTTTAAAAACCTTATTTTTATCTAACCAGGCATTTTGTAACTAATTAACCCTTCTTTTTATTTAGTTAAACCCGATTTATCTAACAAATTTTAATGATTTTTATGCAAAATATAGCACTTAATTAAATATAAATGATATTTTTAAGAACTCCATTGAATACAATAATAAAAATGTAAAACTTATTCAAGAAATTTTTAAAAAATATATAAAAGCTTTTTTAATATTTTTGCATTTTCTTTTATAAGGTAAATTTTGCGCTAAGCTTCTGAGATTGGATGACAAATAGTTTGAGATCTTTGAAAAAGAAATATAAAGGATCTTCATTAATAATTAATAACCATTTCTTTTTTTGTATATGATAATTTTTCTATAAAAAGTAAGAATATGATATAGATAAAAAAATTTATCCAGTCATTAAAATTTTTAGAATCCGCAAATAACATTAATAAAAATTTAAAATTTACATTTGCAATATTAATTCTTATCAAAATAGTAATGCAGGAGATTTACAAGTCCCTTCCAGCAAAAGTTTTCATGTTTTTTATTGCAAAGTTTGGCAAATTTCTTATATGAGAATCTAGATATAAGCCATAGGCATGAAAAAGAATGGCAATCAACCACTACAAAGGCCCCCCATTTTGGTGAAGGCATCTACATGGACAAAATCAGGCAAGCAAACAAGAAAGGTGGGGGGGGGGGGGGGGGGGGGGGATGGATATGACAACGTTCTCCCAACCATAATCTGTATACATATTCACTCGTCCAAAATCTTGTTTCTGTACTGTCAAATTACACAGGCAACTTATCCCATTACTGGAGACGGAACCAGACCAACCTCCATTAGACGGAGTAGCAAAAGCTCAGTGGATCGTAATCGTCACTTGCAGATGCACACTTTGCCTAGGTAAAAGTCCTTCAAAAATCCAAACTAGCGAAGAAAGAATTACATATCCAACAAATCAACAAGCAAATGTTGCAGATGCCATCTCAATGCTAACTAATTGTTGCCTAACATTGTCATTTGCTTTTTAAGTGTTCTCCCCACTCATATAGTCCATGTAGAGAGCCACGCTTTTATAAAATGTCATCAAGGGAGGTAATCTAAAATGCTCCCTAATTGTAGATTTTAACTGGCTTCTCAAATGTGTGCCGGTTCTGCAAAGAAGCAATGTCGATATCAATGCAGAGTCAACTAT